TCGTAGCGTTTTTAATGAAAGAATGTTATTTATTTCACATGAGCATTAAAAAATACATTAATGAAAGTACTTCCCATCACTTGTAAAACGCTACGAATTAATTCCAACACCTAATATATATATTGATATACATATATACATATGTATATATATTTCCATTATACTTATTAGATTATATTCTAATAATGCTTTTAAAGCGAGCGCAGCGATATTATCAAATCATGATACCATCGATCGCGATGATGCTGTCAGCGTATGTAATATAATATGAAGATTGTATGAAGGAAAAGAACGAATAGATATCGTGAAAGGAATGGATAATTTCAAACGCTGAGACACACAGTTAATATTTGTTTATTTTTCATATACTATACACACACACACACACACACAATTATTATTATTATTATTATTATTATTATTATCCATAGTATAACTAATAATTCACATTCAATATTTGAATTTTTATCATTAATCTTACGTTAGGTGTTTGCCGCATCGTAGTTGTTATTTGACGTTTCTCGCGATGACGTCATCAATATAATTAAATACAACAAAAATGCGACGTTTGCAATTTCCGACGGTTTTATTAGATAGCGTAATCAAAGATTTTTCAAGGATATGCTGCGACAAGTCACAATATGTCACGGTATGTTTCGCGGTAATGTCATCAATGCAATTTGATATAAATGCGACGTTGCTAATTAATACACATGTCACGTGACCAGATTTTTCACGAACATTCGACATGGTACGACATGTCCCAACATGTTCGAGCGGTAACATCATCATCAATGTAATGTGTGTACAAATATCACGTGACCAAGTAATTAGTATAAAATGAGAAGATTTAAACGCATCGCGTCATTAGTCAACGCAAGCGATAACATGAAGCGCAATTTGATAGAGCAAGCGAAATGATAGAGCTAAATACCATAGAAGAGTACGTTGCATGGGAACAACGATGCGAGGAGCTCATAGAATTTCTGGAAGAGCAGAGTCATGCCAAACGCCCGCGATTATCGATCGGCAAGAGACAATCAGTGATCACATATATCGCGAGACTCGAGAGTTTGAAGGATTCGATGCGTGGACAATTCGTACATGTGGGTGCCGAATATGGACTTCGATGACGCGAGATTGAAACAGCGTTCGAGAGTCGTATATTAACAGACGCGGTGATAAACTCTAATACCGAGTCGCGAGTTTTTAGAAGACGCTGGCAATGTAATTCTAAAGCGAGTTCGAGATACTGTAGAAAGACAAGGTAATGTAAAAGTGAACACCGCGTTCGACGGCAAGTTCGCGACGAAGGATAAACGTGCTAATAAGAGCGTAATTACAAAGATCAGCGAGATATATCGATGCACGAGTGGTATGAGCGACACGTCGAGCTTATCCTAGCATCGCTCGAAAAGTTCCAGAAATGCGACAGCGGGTGGGCATTGTCGCGAATTCTCAATTTGGTAGTGAATGTGAATAAGCACAATCCAATGTGCATGAGATGTTATTTCCAAGTGCGTCAGGAAATAGTGACGAAACAAGCGGTGACCAACGTGTATTCGATGAACAATGCGTGTTTCGCGTGATTGGTAGTAGCCGCTCTACATCCAGCTAAAAGTCATGTGGATACAAAATCGTCGTATCCGCATTACACGACAGTGTTGAATCTCGCGGATATCGAATTTCCGATAACATTCAAAGACATTCCGAAATTCGAAAATCTCAACAACATATCGATCAATGTGTACAGCATCGAAGATAAGCGGGTTCTTCTCTATGGCTTATCGATGACAAGAGGGACAAGCATGTCAATCTCCTATACCTACAAGATTCACGCAACGACAACATTAGACACTTTGCGTGGATAAAAAAATCTATCCCGCCTTGTAAGATCACAAATTATTGGAAACGAAAACAGGAAATATTTTTGCGATTGGTAAGTACAATATAATAAGAAAAGTATGATAAAAAAACAATATTTGAAAACAGTAAAAAGAAATAGCAAAATGATTTCTCCATTTGCAGGTACCTTCATTAACTCGAGCGCAAAGTTGGAGATCCACAACGAAGACTGTGGTAAGATGAACGATAGTGCCATTTGACTGTCGAGTGAGGACGACAAATGTTCGAATTCGGCAACTACAACAATCGGGAACAAGTGCCGTTCATCGTCTACGCCGACTGGAGTGCGTCATACGGAAGACGGAATCCGATAAGAAAGACGCGTAGTCGTACGCGTATCAACAGTATGAAGTGTTTTTTTTTGCATAAACTACTATGTGCGATGCGCGTACGATGACGCGTTATTATCGTATCACTTTCGTCGCGATAAAGATTATATAGCGTGGTTCGCACGACAACTCAAAGATTTGGCGCATCGCGTGAAAACTATCGTATCCGTCAACGTGCTCATGGAAAAGTTATCTAAACATCAATTAGACCGCTTAAATTGCTTACTGCTTAGACCGCTTAGATTGCTTACTGCTTAGACTGCTTAAATTTCTTAGAGTCATAGTCTCGCTACTATATCGTTTCGTAAAACCGCCGTGCTAACCGCTTAGTCAAACCGCTATAGAACGAATCTTTTCGAGAAGTGCCGAGAAAATCGCCGAGATTTTCCATCACCGCGATTCTAAATACAATTTGGAAAAGGTGACCGCATTTAATATTCTGTCAATCTAATATTTAATTAATTATATTTTCTGAATTTGTAACTGTGCATATTAAAGAAAATTCTTTTATTAAATTACAAAGAAACGGAGTTCTCTTTACTGTC